AGGGAATCAACACAGTAAAGGAGGAGACTATATTTAAAAGAAGAAAAACTACCACAACAAGAGGACATAGTCTTAAATTAGAGGGACAAAGGTTTAAAAATAATATCAGGAAGTATTACTTTACTGAGAGGGTAGTGGATGCATGGTAGCTGAAGTGGTAGAGGTTAACACAGTAAAGGAGTTTAAGCATGCGTGGGATAGGCATAAGGCTGTCCTAACTATAAGATAGGCTAGGGACTAATGAAAGTATTTAGAAAATTGGGCAAACTAGATGGGCCGAATGGTTCTTATCTGCCGTCACATTCTATGTTTCTATGTTTCTATATATACTTCCTGCCGCGGGGGAGGGAGATCGACTGTCTCTGCTCCCAATACAGAGTCCTGCTGCTGGGGAATGGAGACTGGGCTCCCAATTCCCTGCTGTATCTCCCGCTGGGGAATGGAGAATGGGCTCCCAATTCCCAATGACTCATACTGCCGCTGGGGAATGGAGACTGGGCTCCTAATTCCCTGTAATTCACACTGCCGCTGGGGATCTGAGCCGACTGCCCAGCATCCTTGTAGCTCACCCTGCCACTGGGGAGGGAGGACGCAACCCTCCTCTCCCTGCAAGGTACACTGCCGCTGGGGGACAGGACCAACTATCTCTGTCCCCTGTAACTCAGCGTGCCGCTGGGGAATGGAGCTTGGGCTCCCAATTCCCTGCAATTCACTCTGCTGCTGGGGGACAGAAGCAACTATCTCTGTCCCCTGTAACTCAGCCTGCCGCTTGGGAATGGAGCTTGGGCTCCCAATTCCCTGCAAAATCTCCCGCTGGGGAATGGAGACTGTGCTCCCAATTCCCCGCAGGACCGGTGGAGAGACCTTGATCCCATCTCCACCAGCTACCTGGGGTTCTTCCCAGTAACATTCTGCAATATCTGCCCAGCTGAATGGGTCTGGATCTGGGTCTCCGCTTCCCTGCTGAGCCTTCTCACTGGAGTGGAACAGATCTTGGTAGCCCTGCTCCAGCTCCATCTCTCGGGTCACTAGGTGGACCAGGTCTTGCTCAATCTCATGAGTGTCGTCCCAGTCATACCTGCTCTCCCTCCACTCCAGAGATCACTGAACCGAGTTTGTGTAGAGCTCCCAAACTCAGGCTCTGAAAAAGCCTCCCATAACAAACCGGGACCATCAAACTCCTCTCCCTCTGGCTTGTCATGCTCGGCTGTCCAGGGCAGGTACTGTGCCCCATACCACCAGAGCGCCTGGTAGGCATCTTCCAGCCAAATCTCCTGCCATACCCGGAGCTCCAATTCCTTCACCCATTCCTCCAGGGGCTGCTCTCCCAGGAAGGGCATCCGCAGGGCTAGTCGCTTCTGCAATCGCTGGTCTTCCTTGGGGAGTCTCTCGCCCCACTGGTACTCCACAATGCCCAGTGCCTGGTACCAAATGCCTTTGCGAACTGAATCTCAGTCATCCATGACACCCTCATCGTACTCCATATTCATTGAGGCATCCTGATGCTGTCAGGGTCACTGGGTCCCCAATTGTAACGGACCGTTTAGCACCTAAGAGGTTAAAAACCGTTTAGGTGATATTCCCCTTTTCAGATGCACAGGCACAGCTACAGCAGAACACCAATCCGCCGAACAGGAAACCATACGAATGCTGTAAACAGCCGAATAGGAAAAACCATACGAATAGGGTTTACACTCCTAGCATTCAAACTGGAACAACATACAATAAATCCCCCCAAGAACGAGACAAAGCTCCGTGTTGAGGGTCAAGCAGTGAACAGACAGAGCTGTGGGTTTATTGTTCTTATATACACATTAGTACCACGAACACAACCAATAAAAACATACAATACACTCAGACACTCCCACACAAAATCCTCCCCTGCCTGTGATTCAATTACCTTACACAATGGGTAATGTAATTATAACAAGCAGAGAAATACAATTTTTTCACATTATTCATAACTTGAAAAGTATGCATCACATTCACATATAATCGCTCCCAATCCCTGTGGGTCTCGGCGAAGGTTCTGAGCATTTGTTTTAATGTACCATTGAACCGTTCGCAGAGCTTATTGGTCTGGAGATGGTATGGGGCACTGATGATAGGTTTAACGTCACAATATCTCCTGATTTGCTGAGTGACCTCTGCGGTAAATTGAGTACCCTGATCCAAGATGATCTCCCTGGGTAACCCCATCTGGGAGAAAATCTTCATCAGGGCTTTGGCCACGGTTTCAGCGTGTATATTGGTCAGGGCCACTGCCTCTGGATATCGGGTGGCGTAATCCACAACAATTAAAATATATTTCTCGCCCGAAGGGCTAGGTTCCTGAAGGGGGACTATGATATCTACCACTATTCTGTGAAATGGTTCCTCAATTATAGGTAGCGGATGCAACTTCGCCTTCCGCCGGTCTCCCCGCTTCCCTACCCTCTGGCACGTATCGCAGGTACTACAATATTTACGTACCTCCTGGCTAACTCCTGGCCAAAAGAAACTTTGGGTCAGTCGGTATCTGGTACGATTGATCCCCAAATGCCGGATAGCAGAATATCGTGAGCTATCCGGAGCAATTCGGCTCGGTACCTCTGTGGTAAGACTAATTGCCTTAAAACAATCGGGTCTGACCCAGCTACCTGCTTATCTGACTCCCTATATAACAGCTGTCCCTCCCATACAAATCTTTCCCCTTCCGCCTATGGCGAAAGCCGCCTCGCCACTGGACATTGGAGAGGCCTGGCTGCTCGCCTCCTACCTGCTGACTATGGCCCCTGGTGAATTTGTACTTTTGAATGCAATATTTGGGGCATGTGGTATTTTATATTGCTGTTACTGGCCCTTTAAGTGCCATCTGTGGACATATTATGACTTTTTGGGAACAATATCCCTTTAAGACTTTGTAGCAGATTACAGTAAGGATGTCTTTTATATTATTTATGTTTCTGTGTGTTCGGCTAAATTGTATATGTTTGCCTGTGGTGTTGGCGATTATCTGCATTGGCTTGTAGCGGGTTGGCTTCATGAAGTACCTCCCACTGTTCTATTGTAGTGACGAGGACTGCGGAGCCATAGGCGGCGGGTGTCTCCTCCTGGTAGTGGTGTGCGGCTGCTCTCGGTGGTGGTGGTAGTGGACCTGGCCTATTCCAGGTAGATCGGTCTCGCAGCTGAGGCCACTCCCTCTTGTAGTGTCCCCGCCTCTGACACTGATGACACTGCACTGAGCTAGGCTGACGAACTTGTGGTTGTGCTGCAGGTGGTGGTGGTGGTAGATGTCGTGGTGGTACTGTGGGGTAGGTTGTCCCCCCAAAGGTTTTTGCTGTGATCTTTGGGGCTACCGGTTTTTGTTGTCTGCGAGCATCCAGGTAGTCGTCTGCTTTCCTAGCATTCTCCATGAGGGATGTAGGATTACGGTCCCTTACCCATTCTTGGACATCTGTTGATACCCCATCATAAAATTGTTCCATCAGCAACATTTGTATTACGTCCTCCATGGACCGTGCTTTGCTAGCTTGTACCCATCCGAGGGCCGCCCGCTGTAGTCTACAAGCCCACTCAGCGTGCGAGTCTTTCTCGGCTTTCTTTAATTCCCTGAACCGCCTTCGTTATGCCTCTGGTGTTATGGCATACCGGGCCAGTATAATTTATTTTACTCTACTGTAGTCCCGGATTTCCTCGTCTGGTACAGTACGATACGCTTCTGCTGCCCTCCCAGTTAACCGCCCAGCCAAAATGGGAACCCAATCTTCTGCACTGATCCTATGCAAGGCACACAGTCTTTCAAAATCCTGAAGGAATGCATCTATGTTTTCCTCTGCCTCTACATAAATTTTAAATGCTTGATAAGGTATTTTTGGCTTACCCTCTTGTACCACGGTTACTGCAGTGCTGCGTTCTGGGGTTGACGTTATCGTTTGCCTCAGTACAAACTCCTGGACCTCCGTCATTGTCCTGGAGATGATCTCTGCTGGTGGATTCTCAGCCTAAATTGTAACTGTCTCTGGAACTCCATTTGTTCCTGTCTTTCTGCCGAATCACTATGTTCGGGAACCGAACCGCCCTCTGTTCGGTATTCCGCCATTAGTTCGGTAATAAGTACCGCTTTCTTTTTATTGCTTTGTTGAAAGCCCCTTGCTTCCAGGAGGTCTTTTAGCACGGAGCGTTTTAGTGTAGAATAGTCAATCTCCATCCGTACTCCATTGGTACTTGTTCCTCTGTGAGTCTGGATCCAACCAATGTAGCGGAGGCCTTGTATTTCACAGGTTAACTCCACTAAAGATCCCAGTGAGGCTCAGGAACAAGTGATGAAAAATCCCATAAGGTAATAATTCCAGCAAAGCAAGGTAATCCACGAATATCCCTATACAGATCCCAATGACTGGATGACACACAGCATCAGGAGCAGAACTGAACTTTTAATCACTTCACCTTTTTTTAAAGCATGCTCCCATGCAAGGGAGGGGTTTACAATAATTATTACAGTATCCAATCGTACATGAGTGTAACGGCACCCCCAGGCATAAAAGGGTTAAACCGAAGTTTAGTAGATCTTCCCCTTCCAGAGACACAGGCACAGCTACTGTAGACACCAATCCACCGAACCGAAGTAGCATATGAATGTTGTAAACAGCCGAACCGGAACCATACGAATGCTGCTAGCAGACAAATAGGAAAAGCACCCAAGCGGCTTACACTCCTAGCAATCAGTCTCTATCAGCATACAGTAAATCCCCCCAAGAACGAGACAGAGCTCCGTGTTGAGGGTCAAGCAGTGGTCTGTTTAATGAGGCTGCCAACCAATGTAGCGGAGATGCAATATTACCCAGGTTATCTCCGCTTATAATCCAAGTGGGACTCAGGAACAAGTAAATAGTACATCCACAGGCAAGGCTTCCAGCAGGTAAAATAAAATTCTTGGAGGGGCCTACTTGCCAGCCTTTTGCCCTGTGACTATGGCCCCTGCAATAGAACTGGTTAATATACTTCAAGCAGAGACCACCCGGTAGCTTGTTAACAACTTGGAACGTTTCTCACTGCAGTGTTCTAATTGTTCGTCTGGGTGGCCGCGATTCCTATGAACAACCATGAGATGGCGGCCATCTTGTTCGCATGAAGGCAGGCAGCAGTGTTTGGACATGAATCTCATAGAACTGAAATCAGATACAGAAACTCCTGAACACCGCTGGACTTCCATCATCGCCTGCGTTTTGTTTCATTCAGTTTAGAAGGGCACTGTTCATTCTGAGATCATTCCATGAGGTGGCGGGTTACAAACTCCAGGGTAAGACTATTGACTCCGTTCGGTATTTTGTTTGTTTGCAAGCTACCAAACTAGAACGACTGCAAGCCCTGATTCGCTGGAACTGTTTTGGGCATGGGAACATGCCTGCGGTCGGTCAAAAAGAAACTTCCAGGAATTTCCTGAACCCCTGCTCTGATCTGGGTGAATTTGGATGTGTTGTTCACCCAGGGCTGTCAGGGGATGTGACTTTTATGGGGATATGTTGTATTTTGAGGGTTTTTTCTATCTGGGGATAAGTAAGTTATTGTATCACAGGCAGAGGGGAGGGATTGTGTACTGTTTGTGGGAGTGTTGCTCATTGTTACGTTGTTTTTATGGGCGTCAGCCTTGTTGGGAAACCTGCATAAAAGGCCAGTGTGCCTCCATTAAAGTTGAGTTCCTGTTTAACCCTCAAAATGTAGCCTTGTCTCGTGATTGGAGGGCAACTGCTGTATTCACACTGGGGATTGCTGTTAGTGAGTGAGTGAGTGTGTGTGTCTGTTAGTGAGTGTGTGAATTCATGGTGTATTTGTATTCCTTGTCAGTGTGTGAATTCATGGTGTATTTAACAGATAGCTACGTGTATTACTTTGTGTCAGATAGCTGTGTGTATATTACTGGTTGACACATAGCTATATGTTACTGGGTGACAGATAGCTGTGTGTATTACTAGGTGACAGATAGCTGTGTGTATTAGTAGGTGACAGATAGCTGTGTATTATTAGGTGACAGATAGCTGTGTGTATTACTGGGTGACAGATAGCTGTGTGTATTATTAGATGAGAGATAGCTGTGTGTATTATTAGGTGACAGATAGCTGTGTATTATTAGGTGACAGATAGCTGTGTGTATTAGGTGACAGATAGCTGTGTGTGTTACTAGGTGACAGATAGCTGTGTGTATTATTAGGTGAGAGATAGCTGTGTGTATTACTAGGTGACAAATAGCTGTGTTTATTATTAGGTGACAGCTGTGTGTGTTACTAGGTGACAGATAGCTGTGTGTATTATTAGGTGACAGCTGTGTGTATTACTAGGTGACAGATAGCTGTGTGTATTAGTAGGTGACAGCTGTGTGTTACTAGGTGACAGATAGCTGTGTGTATTATTAGGTGACAGATAGCTGTGTATTACTGGGTGACAGATAGCTGTGTGCGTTACTAGGTGACCGATAGCTGTGTATTATTAGGTGACAGATAGCTGTGTGTATTACTAGGTGACAGATAGCTGTGTGTATTATTAGGTGACAGATAGCTGTGTATTATTAGGTGAGAGATAGCTGTGTGTATTACTGGGTGACAGATAGCTGTGTGTATTATTAGGTGAGAGATAGCTGTGTGTATTACTGGGTGACAGATAGCTGTGTGTATTATTAGGTGAGAGATAGCTGTGTGTATTAGTAGGTGACAGATAGCTGTGTGTATTATTAGGTGAGAGATAGCGGTGTGTATTATTAGGTGACAAATAGCTGTGTGTATTATTAGGTGACAGCTGTGTGTGTTACTAGGTGACAGATAGCTGTGTGTATTATTAGGTGAGAGATAGCTGTGTATTACTGGGTGACAGATAGCTGTGTGCGTTACTAGGTGACCGATAGCTGTGTGTATTACTGGGTGACAGATAGCTGTGTTTATTATTAGGTGACAGATAGCTGTGTGTATTATTCGGTGACAGATAGCTGTGTGTATTATTAGGGGACAGATAGCTGTGTGTATTAGTAGGTGACAGCTGTGTGTTACTAGGTGACAGATAGCTGTGTATTACTGGGTGACAGATAGCTGTGTATTACTGGGTGACAGATAGCTGTGTGCGTTACTAGGTGACCGATAGCTGTGTGTATTATTAGGTGACAGATAGCTGTGTATTATTGGGTGACAGATAGCTGTGTGCGTTACTAGGTGACCGATAGCTGTGTTTATTATTAGGTGAGAGATAGCTGTGTGTATTACTGGTTGACAGATAGCTGTGTGTATTATTAGGTGACAGATAGCTGTGTGTATTATTCGGTGACAGATAGCTGTGTGTATTATTAGGCGACAGATAGCTGTGTGTATTATTAGGTGACAGAGAGCTGTGTGTATTACTGGGTGACAGCTGTGTGTATTATTAGGTGACAGATAGCTGTGTCTATTATTCGGTGACAGATAGCTGTGTGTATTATTAGGTGACAGCTGTGTGTTACTAGGTGACAGATAGCTGTGTATATTATTAGGTGACAGATAGCTGTGTATTACTGGGTGACAGATAGCTGTGTGTATTATTAGGGGACAGATAGCTGTGTGTATTATTAGGTGACAGCTGTGTGTTACTAGGTGACAGATAGCTGTGTGTATTATTAGGTGACAGATAGCTGTGTATTACTGGGTGACAGATAGCTGTGTGTGTTACTGGGTGACAGATAGCTGTGTATTATTAGGTGACAGATAGCTGTGTGTATTACTAGGTGACAGATAGCTGTGTATTACTGGGTGACAGATAGCTGTGTGTGTTACTGGGTGACAGATAGCTGTGTATTATTAGGTGACAGATAGCTGTGTGTATTATTAGGTGACAGATAGCTGTGTGTATTACTAGGTGACAGATAGCTGTGTGCATTACTAGGTGACAACTGTGTGTGTTACTGGGTGACAGATAGCTGTGTATTACTAGGTGACAGATAGCTGTGTGTATTACTAGGTGACAGATAGCTGTGTATTATTAGGTGACAGATAGCTGTGTGTATTAGTAGGTGACAGATAGCTGTGTATTATTAGGTGACAGATAGCTGTGTGTATTACTGGGTGACAGATAGATGTGTGTATTATTAGATGAGAGATAGCTGTGTGTATTATTAGGTGACAGCTGTGTGTATTATTAGGTGACAGCTGTGTGTATTACTAGGTGACAGATAGCTGTGTGTATTACTAGGCGACAGATAGCTGTGTATTATTAGGTGATAGATAGCTGTGTGTATTAGTAGGTGACAGATAGCTGTGTATTATTAGGTGACAGATAGCTGTGTGTATTACTGGGTGACAGATAGCTGTGTGTATTATTAGATGAGAGATATCTGTGTGTATTAGGTGACAGATAGCTGTGTGTGTTACTAGGTGACAGATAGCTGTGTGTATTATTAGGTGAGAGATAGCTGTGTGTATTATTAGGTGACAAATAGCTGTGTGTATTATTAGGTGACAGATAGCTGTGTATTATTAGGTGACAGATATCTGTGTGTATTAGGTGACAGATAGCTGTGTGTGTTACTAGGTGACAGATAGCTGTGTGTATTATTAGGTGAGAGATAGCTGTGTGTATTATTAGGTGACAAATAGCTGTGTGTATTATTAGGTGACAGCTGTGTGTATTACTAGGTGACAGATAGCTGTGTGTATTATTAGGTGATAGCTGTGTGTATTACTAGGTGACAGATAGCTGTGTATTATTAGGTGATAGATAGCTGTGTGTATTACTGGGTGACAGATAGCTGTGTGTATTATTAGATGAGAGATAGCTGTGTGTATTATTAGGTGACAGATAGCTGTGTATTATTAGGTGACAGATAGCTGTGTGTATTAGGTGACAGATAGCTGTGTGTATTACTAGGTGACAGATAGCTGTGTATTACTGGGTGACAGATAGCTGTGTATTACTGGGTGACAGATAGCTGTGTGTGTTACTGGGTGACAGATAGCTGTGTATTATTAGGTGACAGATAGCTGTGTGTATTATTAGATGAGAGATAGCTGTGTGTATTATTAGGTGACAGATAGCTGTGTATTATTAGGTGACAGATAGCTGTGTATTATTAGGTGACAGATAGCTGTGTGTATTACTAGGTGACAGATAGCTGTGTATTACTGGGTGACAGATAGCTGTGTGTGTTACTGGGTGACAGATAGCTGTGTATTATTAGGTGACAGATAGCTGTGTGTATTATTAGGTGACAGATAGCTGTGTGTATTACTAGGTGACAGATAGCTGTGTGCATTACTAGGTGACAGCTGTGTGTGTTACTGGGTGACAGATAGCTGTGTATTACTAGGTGACAGATAGCTGTGTGTATTACTAGGTGACAGATAGCTGTGTATTAGTAGGTGATAGATAGCTGTGTGTATTAGTAGGTGACAGATAGCTGTGTATTATTAGGTGACAGATAGCTGTGTGTATTACTGGGTGACAGATAGCTGTGTGTATTATTAGATGAGAGATAGCTGTGTGTATTATTAGGTGACAGATAGCTGTGTGTTATTAGGTGAGAGATAGCTGTGTGTATTATTAGGTGACAGATAGCTGTGTGTGTTACTAGGTGACAGATAGCTGTGTGTATTATTAGGTGAGAGATAGCTGTGTGTATTATTAGGTGACAAATAGCTGTGTGTATTATTAGGTGACAGCTGTGTGTATTACTAGGTGACAGATAGCTGTGTGTATTAGTAGGTGACAGCTGTGTGTTACTAGGTGACAGATAGCTGTGTGTATTATTAGGTGACAGATAGCTGTGTATTACTGGGTGACAGATAGCTGTGTGCGTTACTAGGTGACCGATAGCTGTGTATTATTAGGTGACAGATAGCTGTGTGTATTACTAGGTGACAGATAGCTGTGTGTATTATTAGGTGACAGATAGCTGTGTATTATTAGGTGAGAGATAGCTGTGTGTATTACTGGGTGACAGATAGCTGTGTGTATTATTAGGTGAGAGATAGCTGTGTGTATTACTGGGTGACAGATAGCTGTGTGTATTATTAGGTGAGAGATAGCTGTGTGTATTAGTAGGTGACAGATAGCTGTGTGTTACTAAGTGACAGATAGCTGTGTATTATTAGGTGACAGATAGCTGTGTGTGTTACTAGGTGACAGATAGCTGTGTGTGTTACTAGGTGACAGATAGCTGTGTGTATTATTAGGTGAGAGATAGCTGTGTTTATTATTAGGTGACAGATAGCTGTGTGTATTACTGGGTGACAGATAGCTGTGTGTATTATTAGGTGACAGATAGCTGTGTGTATTATTAGGTGA